CGTAAGACAAAAACAAACTAAAGCAGCCCTCTGTCCTCCGGTCTCCATGGCAACGTGTATTTATGCACCACCACCCCCCCACCCGGCTTCGTTTTGTTTAAAGAAGTGTAGGAATGGCAGATAAAGTCGTTTGTGGTTTGGGGGGATGTTTGTTTTATGTCTTTGGCGAGTTAAAGCTTTCCAATAGTGTTTATTTAGCGTTTTCTGTTAGCAGGCTCCTTTTTTTTTTGGGCTCTGGCCGTGGAGACTTGCCGGCACTTTGAAATGTGACTTTGGGACGTTTAGTTTTGACACACGAACCCACAACCAGAAAGCCAAACCACCAAAAGCCGCCTGAAACACGCCGGGGTCTGATATCGGAAAGAGGCTGAATCTTCAAGTTTCTCCGGGCTTTACTCACCTCTTATGAATCAGAAACCCGGACGAAAATAACCTGTTTAGATTTGAGACTTTATTTGAAACAGAAGGTGTGATTTGTGAGCTGTTGTGCTCAGTGATACTGGACAATACAGAAGATTATAAAAGTTATCAGGTAGAGTTAAGCATCCAGAGATGGAGCAGCTGGAAGCTAGAGGAGAAGCCCCTCTTTCTTTAGCTGCTTTCTTTAGTTTCCTGTGGAAACAAAGCAGCAAATAATATTTAATATTGTGTCTTTGAGTCTCACATCCATATTTATATTCTCAGATTTATATTTTTAAAGATTGTTCTTTTTAGTTTTATTTTTTCTGTCCTATATTTTTATTTCTACATTGTATTTCCTTGCTTCTCATCGAAGTGTTGTGCACCAAACACCAAGGCAAATTCCTTGCAAGTCAAAAACCTACTTGGCAATAAACCTTATTCTGATTCTGAAATGAGGTGATGGGATGTGAAAATGGTGGTTCAGCTCTGTCCATTTTTTATTTTATGCCTTTTTTAAGGCGGTTAGTGAAGCAGTCCGGCCGGTGGGCGGCTTTCCTGCCTCAGAGGAAATGAGATTGGCTTCATGACACAGTGAAAATATCTATTTTATTTTATTTATTTTATTTTCACAACAAAAACATAAAAACAGTATTATGTTTTAACAAAAAAAAAATGTGATCGACAACTGCCGAAAAACCCTCAAGGGGCTTAACGAGTGGCAGTCTCCATAAAAACAAATATATTTCACAATTTCAAACATCTATATGATATCGTGTAAAAAAAAAAAAAAATTCTTTGTATAAAACAATTTAAATAAAATATCATTTAGACCACAAATCCATATGGCAAATTCAGACAACTTAGTACCAGCAATTTTACTCTAATTTTTTAACTCTATTTTACTTTAAATAGTTCTTTGGAGAGATCTGTCTGTGATGTGGGAAGACTGTTCCATACTTTTTACCCTCTGTGTAAAACACTAAACTGTCTGAGTTAGAGTAAGGAGGTCTGATAAGACAACTGGGGCGGGGTGGATCATTTCCTGTATTGCTGTGCCGGCCTGGAGATGCTCGTGCATGTGCACAAACACCACCCCCCCCTCTTCCGTGTGTGTTTTTTCTTCCTTAAATAGTATTTTGGTGTGAGGTCAGTCCTTTAAAGGGGAAGTGAGGCTGGTAATGATGAGAGCAGAGCGTCTCAGTTCTGGGTCAGATTTGGGTTCCAAAGAAAGAGGCTGATGTACGACTTCCTTCTTGTTGCACGCGGCAACAATTAGAGGTTAACATCAGTCTGCTTTTTCTGGTTTGATGGCTTCCCCGCGTGGCCCCGGGTCAAACGGCTGCAGAGGGAACTCCTTTAAAAGCAAACTGAGGTCACAACGAAAAACCAATAACTCTCAGAATCACACAGAGAAAAGGGAAGTGGAGCGTGTGAGAGAATCTGCAGCTCTTTGAGCTTTAGAGTCTCTCTGAGAGCAGAGAGGGCCGAGGCAGGTGCAGCCCATCCCACACTAGCATTAGCATTAGCATTAGCATCTGTAACCCACAGGTCTGTGTCCTAACCAT